TGAACCCTTAAGGCACAATACAATTTCATGCATTTTTGGTCATCACCTTGCTCCGACTTGCACTGAAGGCAAAAACAGCCAGGATTGTAGGTTGACTGCACAAGCGTGGTGACCAGTGTGTTAGAAAAGACCTCGACTGGCTGCCCTGTATGTTAATCAAGTGGCAAATGTGATACGGGGGATGGATGATAGGCCAACTTATTTATTCTTTTTAAATGGCGTGGGAGCTACCCACACCCAATCGACCAGTCGATCACAATTGACGCGTTGGGCACCCCTGATGTTAGCCGATGACAGGTTTAGTTGGCATGCTCTGTGTTCTGAGGTGAAATATTTCAAAAAGATAAGTCCTACAGCAATGAGACTCAGAGTTAAAAAAAAAAAAAAGACAAAATGCCTACATATGTATAAATTGTTCATGTAGAATAAAAAATGTGAGAAGACAAAGTTAGTCACACTTTAAAAGAAAAAAGAAAGTGTTCTGGTCCAAATTTAGAGTGCAGGACATCAGTCAGGCCCTTGTCCCCAGATTCTTCAAAACCTCCACCATAGTTCCAGTGGCAAAGAAGTCAGTTGTAGCCTGTCTTAATGACTATCATCCCATCACACTAACACAGATTGTGATGAAGTGTTTTGAACGGCTCGTCAAACCACACATCACAGCCAGCCTTCCTGCATCGCTTGACCCCCTTCAGTTTGCTTGCCATCCCAACCACTCCACAGAGGATGCAATATCCACCACCTTCACTCAGTCATCATCCACCTGGAAAATAAAGACACCTACGCTAGAATCCTGTACATTGATTTCAGCTCAGCGTTTAATACCGTCATCCCCCAGAGAATAATAGAGAAACTTCTCCTACTCGGCCTGGATATCGCCACATGTCTCTGGGTCCTGGACTTTCTGACCGAAAGACCCCAGTCTGTCCGAGTCGAAAAGAACATCTCTAACTCCATCATGCTGAGCACTGGATCTCCTCAAGGCTGTGTACTTAGTCCACTATTGTTTACACGAACACACGACTGTGCAGCCACACATGAGGGGATCCAGATCATCAAGTTTGCTGATGATACCACAGGAGTGGGACTTATTCAAGAGAACAAAGAATCAGTGTACAGAGATGAAGTGAAACACCTCACCTAGAGGGCTGGTGCAGTAAGAACAACCTGCTGCTCAATGTGGACGAAACGAAGGAGATGATCGAAAAGCCCTGCAGAGGATAGCTAGAGGAGCTGAGAGGGTCATCAGAGTTTCCCTCCCCTCTGTCCAAAAACTTTTCCAGAGCTGCTGCAGGAGCAGGACACTGAACATTGTCAGGGACTCCTCACACCTTCTCCATAAATTGTTTGAACTGCTGCCATCAGGCAAATGTTTCCAGTGCATTAAAGGAAGAACCTCCAGAATGATCAACAGCTTCAATCCACAAGTTGTCAGAATGCTGAACTGCTGATCTAGAAATGCAAACACTTCTTTATTGAAATTTCTTCACGTTGTTGGATCCTGAAGAAACGCTCTTTCATCTTGCCTGTACTACTGTGTATGTACAGCAAAATGACAAACTTGAGCAGTGTGCCAAATATGCAATGTGAAACTGGCCTATCAGTGTAGCACACCAAGCAGAAAACTCACCTGAATCCAGTAAGTAGTAGTTATTTCTTGACAGTATAAAAAAACCAATAGCGTACGAGCTGGCAAACTGTAATTTGTCTGTTGTCCAGTTGCCATGAAAAGACTCTTTTTTTTTTTTTAGTGCAATAACATCACACATTATCAAAATGTCCACTTACTTTGCCTGTATGCAATTGATCCGAATAGTTAAAGGAAAACATTAGGACTAATTTTATATATAAATATATATATATATACTTTTTTATTTTTATGTATTTTATTCTTTGTGTGCCACTGTTTTGTGCTTTTGCAGTGTCTGAATTTTCTCTATGGGGATTAATAAAGAATTATCTTATCTTAGTTTGGAAAAATAAAAATGGCATTTAAAAAAATGTAGAGGAGCTCAGATTAACGATACTTCGTCCTGTCACAGTTTTCCATTTAGTTGCAGTTTTCTCGCTGTTTCATTTTGAAGTTGTTTTTTTTGTTGTTGTTGTTTTAGCCTGTGTGTCATGGTCTGGATACTTTCTAAACTTGCATTTTTCCCCACCTTTGTCATTGTGTGGTTGTTTTCACTGGTGTCTTGTTACTTTACTCTCCCTTTTGTATTAAGTCATTTATTCTCTGTTCCTGACTATGTTCATCCCCTGTTTTCATTGTCAGATTTTTCCATGGTCCTTACTGGTGTTCTTCATGCCCTCTTTAATTTTAGATTACTTACTCTTTTGGACTGTGTAGAACCTGCCTGCTGTATTTTGTTTGAACTCCCATAAGTCACCATCAACTTTTAATAAAAGCTCACTTTTGTTTTATGTAAACTGCATTTGATTCTCTTATGAAATGAACAAATTACACTTTGGAAAAATATATATTTTTTGAATTTTTATTTGAATTAAGCTCTTGAATTGAAACAGCTTGTTTTGTGAAGAGACTGTACAAGATGATTTGCTGAAGTGGTCCAAGATGCAACCAGAAGCTTGCCGAAAGCTTGTGGATGGCTACAAAAAACATCTTGTTGAGGTAAAAATGACCTTTAACCAAACATTAGAACTGCTGTATGTGCATTTTTTGACCCAGCAAATTTTGTCATTTGTCCAGAAATCCTACACAAAAATGTACGAAAGAATCAAAATTGCGGTCTGTGACAAAGTGCACTAGTCTCAATGTCTCCATCATAGAAAATTAAAAGTATATGCAGAGTATAAGGGTATATGTTCAGGGCATGTGACCCTGCTGCTCATGAGGAAAACCTGTAGGCTTTTCAAATGAGACTGTAACTGTCTGATAGCAGCCAAGATTAAGATATAAATCAAGGATATGCACATTCACTGATCAATAGTTTGTTTTAATTAAGCATAATTGAGAGTCTATTGTTTATTTAGACATGGGTTTAATTGTCTTGTTTCATCAATAACTATTAGGGTGTAATGGACAATGGACTTCTTCAAGTTAGAGTAAGAGGGAAAAATGCCCATATTAGCTGTTTAATGAGGAGATTCATGCTGGTTTCCTGGAACCAGAAGAACATGAAGAGATTATTACTGTCAGAGTAGTTCTATAGGAGAATGTACCCACCATTCTGGTAGTTGACAAAGATTATAGTAAAATTTCATTTTCTTAAACAAATGTCCAAGAATTATTTTTTTCATGTCTTCTAGTCCACCATTTTATTGACCTCCAATTATGTCCATTATCAACAATTATGTTCTGGCCATAAAATAGTTGTTGTTTAAAAGTTCAGTTATATTTCAGTGGCTCAGAGTAAAGTATTGAACTTTCTCTAAAACTGAAGCAGACCTGAACATATGAAGCCGGTTTCCTCCATTTAAATCATGAAGTAAGTGCTGTCTTTTAATATCACATGTAACAGGTTCTGCCAAATTCACAATAAGTATATGCTTGCAAAGCGTACATGTTGACAAATAAAATGTTTGGACTGACTATCGCTACCTCTAATGTGAGGGCACCTAATGTGATGAGAATTGTTTTTTTTTTTTAAATAATCACAGCGTTGTAGTGCATCTTGTTTTAAATGCTGCTATTTTACTTAATGCACTACTATTAATTGTAAAAGTTGTAGCAGTGGTGCATTAGATAATCTTTCATGCAGCACCACCAGGGAGATGTCAACATGGAGACAGTCTGAGATTAGATGAAGACACTAATTTGAAGAAAAACTGTGACAAATTCTTCAAGATACAAAACCTAAATACATTTGCAAACAATTGTGAGAGTTGGTGTTGTTTCAAGGTAAATATAACCCTAAATACAATACAAATACACAATGTTAATATGAGTTTTTTTTTTTTTTTTTTTAAGTTCTTCTGATCTTATTATAGCAATTTGAAAAATGGGTTTATTGAAGATCAGCCACATATGGATTAGCTGTAGACACATTTTGTCCATTTCGGTTAATGTAACAACTATCAGTGTTAAAACAGCCATCGTCCCCATTATGCGTACGCTTTTTCTAGAGGCGATCTATGTAACGTTAAATGCATTATCTACTTTAATTATTGTCGTTCACTTAAAAATGGCATTGCGAGAAATCGAATGTGTGGGGTCTCCTACTTGCTTCGTCGTGGCCGCGCATCCCTGCGCATGATCTGGCCCTGTCGTGAGCGCGCGACTGGAACAGCAGTCGTAGTGCAGGGAGCGCGGAACGGAACGGACTGTCAGTCAGCAGTCTGTCTGTCAGTATCGGAGCGGATTTGATGGTGTGGATGATACAGAATTGGACGGACTTTTTCACCGGGATATTCAGCAGCATGACCGGGTGAGTCTTGCGGGTAGAGCCGCAGACCTAGCTGAGATACGACGGTAAAGTTCGAGGTGTGCAGACAAACGTGCCGTGTGAATGCTGGCAACGGCTCTCCATAGCCGCTGATGCGTTTTCTTTTTACTGCAAGATGTGGTAGGACGGGGTGGGTGACCGAGCCACATAACGTCTGCTATAATAATAGTATCTGTGCTAGGCTGCAGCCGTGTAGCTCCATGCAGCGCTAACTGAACGCCAGCAAACGGTGTGGAGGGAAAACAGTTGAGCGGTGGCTGCTGATGAGCAGCGGGCTGCGGGGTTCCAGATTCTGCTACATGGGACAACTGAGAGTCCGATCTCCGCTGTAGCCACCCGACCAAATCGCTATGTAGTTGTTGTTACTTTCTCCTTGCATTACAACCTGCATTATTGAATAGACATTGGTGCCTTGTCAGTTTTGCATTAAAGAACGTCTTGCTTCATCCAAGGCGTAATTATCTGTGGGAACAGGTGCATGTCTGTGTTAGACTATTGATTACGCATCTGATAAAGCAACTTCAGTATATGCTTTAAAACAAACAAACAAACAAACAAACAAAACACAGCCCCAAAAAGCAGGCCTCTCCCGCGCCTTTATGTTAATCACCTTTATAACGCCACAGCCACCACAGCTGGAATGCTCTTGGAGTGAAAAAAAGAATACTTAATTAGTGTGCCTTTTTATCAGCCCGATGCACTTGTAACAAATCATTTGATGTTTATTTTTATGGTTAGAGAGTCCTGCACGATGACTGTGATGGCAGTGTAAAACATATTCGAGTAAAGAGGATTGTGTGTGTTACTGCAGGCAGACAAATGAAAGCAACAACTGGGGCTGGTCTGAAGTGTCCCATGGGCATTCAATGAAAACGAGTGTGAATGTGCATGATAATGGTGTGTGTGTGTGTGTGTGTGTGTGTGTGTGTGTGCATGCGTGCGTGTGTGTGTGTGTAAAGGATGGTTGCATTATGGAGGATACCAGTAGTCAGTGAAGAGCTCATCTTAAGGGTGGAGCTGCATTAACTGTCATGTTTTTCAGGAAGTCTTTGAAAGCCATCCAGATCTAATAGACAGTGTAGAGAACATTGAATCGGCCTGGTTGTGTGTACCTGTTTATCACAATCACACACATACCTGTGCACATATCTTCCACTCTGGTCTGTGTGTATGTGAGAGAGAGCGAGAGAGCATGTGGGTGCTTCCTGCTCTCACCTTTCAGCAGGCAGGCAGGCAGCCAAACTACCGCACAGCTGTCCATTCACTTGCCTCGCCTGCCTGTGTTACAGTTCCTCCTCCTTACCTCAACACCTTCTGCTCTTCCTCATCACCTACACCTCCTTCATCACCTCCTTCTCTTTCTCCTGTTCACACAAGCTAATTGGAATTCAGCCTGGATGGCTTAAGACGTCATGGTAACCATTACCAGTACCATTGGTCCTTACTGTCCTTAAATGATCATCATAGCATATTTGGTGATAGGCTTTCTTTGTATTTGGAATGTTTAGCTAGTGGGGGCGTTGCAGCAATGATAAACACCTTGGGTTTTAGTATTTCACAATTACAATTTGATGTGCTGGAACAAGCATGTTATGAGTAGTAAATGATTAAGTAAAAGTAACTACATAAAAAACATCAATAGAATATTCACATTAATAATGATACAAATTACTCAAAATGCCAATTTTGAATTTCTGGATCTGTAGCCCCTTTGGAACATTATTTGTTCAGTGTTTTGTGTTGTTGAATGTTTTTTGAATATCAAAACAAATTAACTGAGAGTTCCATGGTACCTTCATGGTATTATATAGCAATCAGTTTTTAGTGCTGAGTAAAAGGAATATTAGAATAATAACTTTGATAATAATTTCCTGACTACCATCTGTCACCTGTAGTGATCGCAAACAACAGCGTTTCCTCGTGTGCCACAAATATGACCACCAGAGCAGGTACTGTTCATGATAAAGTAGTTGTAGTTTTGAGTTGAGATTTCTTGATTTTCTGAAAGCAACAGTGTAATTCACTGTGGGGTAAGCACTGCATAAGTAGTAACAAAGAAGCAAAATGACTACAAAGTCACGTCTCCTCTAACCCTGGGCTTTTGCTGCCAGTTAAGGTGGTTGTTCATATGGTGTGACTGCAAGGCTAGCAATGAATTTAACCATCTTTAAATAATGTGAGAAATGCTAACAAGTCAGAATAGAAGGCATTTTTTCTGTTGTCCTCTCTGTACTTACAAAGCAACATGAGCACTTCGAGCTAACAGGGTAACAATTGTTGGTTTTTGTAAATGAGCTTTAAAAGTTATTGATTTGGTTTGATTTTCTTTATGTTCCTACTTTCCAGAGAGCTACAGTTGGTCCATGATTATGGTCTTTGTGCAAAGATAGGCTTAACATGTCATCCGATTCTTTTTTTTCTCCTTATCTTTTCTCTTTTCTCCTGGATGACATGATAGATATCCTTATACCAGTATGGATTTGGTGATAACATTAGAACTGCTGGGCTGCAAGGTGACTCAGTGGTTAGCACCGTTGCAGCAAGAAAGTTTGCATGTTCTGCCTGTGCAGCGTGGGTTTTCTCCGAGTTCTTTGAGTCCAAAAACATGTTGAGGTTAATTGGTGATTCTAAATTGTCCATAGGTGTGAATGTGAGTGTGCTTGGTTGTCTGTCTCTAAGTGTAGCCCTGTGATAGACTGGCGACCTGTCCAGGGTGTCCCCTGCCTTCGCCTTAAGTCGGCTGGGATAGGCTCCAGCCCCCCTGTGACCCTAGTGAGGATTAAGCGGTGTATAGATAATGGATGGATGGATTATATATCCTTTTATCACTACTTAAACCGAAGCTATTTAAGGTTAATTCTGATTGGTGGCTGTACCATGTGATGAAACATATCAAACGTGTGCGTGTTTGTAAATTGTTTTAATCACATTTCTCCAACATTCAGCCTGATGTATCTAGTATCTTGGAAATTCTCTCAAAGTTCTGTGGCCTGTGCTTGGCTGAACAACATGAGAGTCCACTGTTGATTTTGGCTGAATTGAAAAGTAATGCTTTGATCAGTTTTAAACTACCTACTTTGGTGTTTACTCAGTTTGTCTGAAATACATCACAGTCTTGTGGCTTCACCTTTTTGCAGTGGCATATCTGAATTCTGTCTGCATCACTGCAGATAACATGTGCATGAGATTTCGCAGGGGAGCTGCTGTACTGCTGCCTGCAGTGGCTGACCTCCCCGCTGAGCGCACTGACCTCCACATGGAAGAAGAGAGGGGGAGGAGGAGATGGATGCTCACTCTCTCTCTCTCTGTTCATTTTGTTCTCCTTCTCCACGAGGGCCTTCCTCCACAGGCTGCATGCTTGGAAATGGCATTGCTGCAACCCCTCTTCCTTCTCTGCCCTTCCCCCACCTTTCCTTCATCTTAGGGGTCCCGAGGGCTTTGTGAGCGTCTGTTCGTGCCAAATGCCAGCACTCTGCAGGGCCCCCTCCCATTTCTCTCTCTCCCTCTCTCGCTCTCTCTCTCTATGATGTTTGAAAGAAAGAAAGAGAGGGAAAGGGACAGAGTTTGGGGATTTCTTTGGTTCCCCTTCTTCAACCAGGCTGGAGGGGGGTTGCCTGTTGCTGTGTACTGGTGCTTTGTCTCCATGGTTTGTGCAATTGGCTGGTCTGTCTGTGTATACGAATGGGCCTGCTATTGTTCTCAGCTACTGCTGGAATGCTGTTGCATGGTGGTTGCGGCCCAGATGCCCAGCAGTGTTGTCTGTCTTTGTCATTTTCATCTGTGCATGTTTCTTTTTTTTTTTTTTGCCTTCATGCGTGTGACCGTCTGGTCTCAACATCAACCTGTCTCTCTGCTCTAAACACTCTGCATGTGGAGTGAAGCAGTGTTCAGCATGTAATAAAGCCAATACTTTAGGTATGACCTTGATGTTGAGACAACATGCAGGTGCTTTAACAGTCTGCCACCAATAAAATATGTCAACACTGTTCATTTTTAATCATATGGCTGCGTTGAGATAAAATCTGTTAAATCTACACAGATCAGGCACAAAATTCAAACCACAGACAGGTGAAGTGTATAACATCGATTATCTTGTTAGAATGCCATGCTATGCTGGAAAACCTCTGTTGCTGGCATTCATGTGGATGTTACTTTGACGAGAGCCACCCACCTAAGCATCGTTCCATACTAAGTATATGCTCCCCATGGCAATTGCACCCCTGGATGGCAGTGGTCTCCCTAAGAAACATAGTGTGCCTCATTGCAAAAACTGCTCTGGAATGGCTTAAAGAGCATGACTAAGAGCACAAGCCATAGACTGATCTTCCAAACTCACCACAGCATGTCTGATCCACGGTGGCCCCACCCCACAATCCACTAAACTGGATCTACTGCCCAAATCCTGGTATCAGACAACAAAGGACATCACAAGAGGTACTGTGTCCATGCCTCAATGGGTCAGGACTGTTTTGGTGGCTATTAGGCAGGTGGTTCTAATGTTGTGTCTAATTCGTGTAGAGTTGATACTTGCACCCAAGTTAGACTGAAGTCATGGATACTAGGACTCTAATTAACTGTGTTTAAAACTTTAGTGCTATGCTGTGTAGCTATGCCAAATTGTTTGGAAACACTAAAAGATGATGAACTTACAGGTTATGAGGAAGAGCTGAATGTAGCTGAGCTCTCAGCTGAAGACTAAGTTGTGAAATAAGTTAAATCATGGAGTGAAAGCAGCTTAAGTGTCATCACAGGAGTGAAGAATTTTTGTCTTACATGAGATGACTGATTTAGACAACTACACAGCTGTGTTGAAGATTTGAAACATTGTAAATACTGTGTTTAATTTTTTACCTCGAAAACATGTATTTAATCAGCTTTGTTGGCTTTCGCTGTTGGTCAAGTCAAAATAACATTGTGTTACCTGTGTATTTTATTATGGACAGGGGTGTAGGCCTTATATTAGGGTATTGGGAAAGATTTGG